GATGGCGCCTTTCACTAGCAATGCTGGGGAAACGCTTCGTAATGTACCCAGCCAATGGTCCACTATTGGCCTTCACGAATACTGTTGCAGATGACACAAACTAGGCACGTTTCACAAGGTCCCCCTGACGCATCGACCAAGATCTTGCTCATTTGTTTGGAAGCCGCGGTCGATACCATAGAAATGGGACACTCGTACAATACTGAGGGAAACCGCAACCCTTTTCACCAGCTTTCCTAATCAACATGAAGTCAACAAAAAGGAGTGCTCCGGAGTTTACAGCACAACCTGCATTGAATGTAACAAAAAAAACATCGAAGAGTCTGGAAGGACAATCAGCACAAGGAGCAAAGAACACCAGAGATTATGCAAAAAAATTGATACGGGGATTATCTTCACTTGCTACTTTGATCAGTTGTAACTCTGCTAACAATGCAGCCTCTTACTGACCATAACTGCAAAACATTTGAGAATGTACCAAGTTAATGGTCTGAAGCTGGAAATCAGGTATACTATGCAGAGTATATGGACTAAGTCTCCCCAACGCTGAAACCAAATTGCGAAAACAAGGTTGAACTATAAGAATACATATATGTCATTAAAGGTCAAAATTCGATAGGTTAATATAATTTTTTTTAATAAAACAGAAAAAGAGGATTTAATGATTTAAACCTACTTCATCGAACTGATTATGAGCTTTAATCAACAGGTTCGAAGCGTAATCCTGAACAAACACGGTCTCTTCTTGGCGCTTAAGAGAATGTGATCGCTTGTCCTTCGTGGTCATAAGCGAAGGAAGGGATACTCTAATCCTGGAGTCACTATTTGCATGTATAGCATCTTCGTAATCCTCATTAGAGACAGATTCATGATAAAATATTTTTTCGAGAGGTATTGCACGGGAAACGAAAAGCGCGAGACCCTTCTTGACGTCCTGTTGCCGTGGTTCAGCATGCAAAATTTGTGTTTCAATAGAACGAGCCTCCTAAAAAGAAATTTAATTTTTTAAAGATGGTAAATAATGAGAATTAGTTGTATTTATAAAAGTTCTTAGAAAGTGGATATCACTCACTTCAAAGTCTGATTTTACAGACGGTTTATTTGACATATGATGATCAAGCCAACACCGCCTAGAGTAAATGTATTGGCGATCATGTAGGAATAGATACCACGGATACTTGATGACCCAATGAACTACCTCGGTGGTATTATCGTTGTATGAAGGTTCTTGAGATAAAGAAACTTCAGCTTCGTCGTTTGAGCCAGAGGAACCGATAATCTCGAGACGCGTAATGCTTTCTTTGTCCCAAATACGTCGGTAATCTAAATTGAGCTGTACTTCCAGAAAGGATATAGGTGAAATGTCATCAAATGTCCCACAAACTAGGCAAAACAAGTCAGCAGGATAAGGAAAGAGTAAAACGAAAAGCGGAACAAGGTCATACAGAAATACGATTTGATGACTGAGTAACAAAAGAATTTTTACATCAATTTTAAACGGACTAGCCATAAATTATGGGCCGTTGTTATACT